GATGCTTATTCATTAACAACAAAATCTCAATCAAACACATCATACATGCACTGCAAATAGCCAACAAATAATTGGAAACCCTAAAAAAATCCTTATTTGAGTCCATTTTTGGACTAGGATTTCCTTATTGGGCCTAATGGACCAATAAGCTTCCAATTGGACTATCTTGGGCTTAGAACTCTTGAATGGGCTCTAATTGGACCTACTTTCATTTATTTTAACATTTTGGGCCATATTGGGCCTAGAATGAAATAAAATACCTTAATGGACCTCATTGGGCCATAACTAACCTAATTAGCCCTAATGGGCCATAAAAATCATTTCTTGATTTATTTTGGGCCAATAGTTATCTAAATTATCTATGATTTGGACTTAGGCATTTAAGGGCCCAATTCTTTCCTTTTCCCTCTCCAAATCTCGGCCCAAGCCCAAATGAAAGGAGGAGTTGATTTCTCATGGCCACCTCATTTTTACATAATGGTTTTCCATGCAACTTATCCCATGTCTCCATGCACACATCACCTCAAGACCTCTCTCTTCTCCTCTCTCTTTCTCTCGGCCGAAACAACACGAACACACACACTTCGCTCAAAAATCACTCAAAGAAACTCTCTCCATTCCTCTCCAAAATTTTCGAGATCTAGGGATCTTTCAAGGAAATTATCCCACAAATTCTTCATCTAAGGTAAGATCATGCTTTGATCTATGATCTAGAATCTTTTTTTTTATCAAAAATCTCTTCCTAACCCATGCAAAATCATGATCACTCTCTTAGAAACCCTCTAAGTTTGAAATCAACAAAGGTGGGCTTGCTAGGGCCAAAAGTAACATCAAACTCCTCCCAACATTCTTCAAAACCCCAAAATCACAACTCAAGGTGGGTTTCATACACCTTCGTTTTCGGTTTTTATGAGTTTTATGGGGGAGAATACAAGAAAATGTGTAGATATATGTGTAAATGTATGCTATATGTGATTTGATGCATGTATGTGTGTGTTATCATGTGTTTTGGGATGAATATGTTATCAAAAAAGTGTGTAAAAACCGAGATCTAAGACATGAGAATGGAAATAAACATAACTTAAGCTATTATACACTAATCAAGTCAAGAAAAATAGTTTATAAGGTTAGGATGAACATACTTGAACATGAGATCCATTTTTGGGCCTAAATTGTCAAAAATGCAAACTTGGGGTAAAAATTAACAAGTTACGGTTTTTGGAAGGTTAAAAGGGGCCAAAATAGTCTCCATAAATATTTTCCTGATTTTTAGAAATTTCTAAGGACTTAAAATGTAAATTTTGAACTTAATGGGCTAATTTTGGGCTTTTCGGCCCAATAAGCCTCAAAATGCGAAAATTTTACAAGTTGAAGGGCTGGAAATGAAATTTTCTGTAAAACAGGGAGTAATTAGCATAATAGAATGTTTATAAGGTTCAAAAATGCTTTTCATTATAAAAAAGGACTAAAAATGCAAACTTTTTAGATTTTGTGCCAAAACCGTAAAAGTTGTGAAAAATGGATCCTTAACCGAGAATCACTATTCTAGAGGGGCTGAAGCTGTCAACTAAATAAACTTTGGGTTAAAATCTTGTTTTCATCAAATAAATTATACAAAAGTCTCAAGAAAAGTGTTTTAAGGACTAAAAATGAAATTCTTTTACATAAAAGGACCAAAAGTGTTATTTTTATAAAAGGAAGAGTAATGAAAAGAGTCAAACTTTACTTACAAACAAATCAAATCAAGATACAAGATCTACGACTACCAACAAAATGGAAAACAAATACACTCTCAATAACACATATCGTTACAAAACGAATTGATCCGGTCTGGAATCAATAACAACACAAAATCGTTAAACCAAAGTAATTCGTTAATCACGCGATAATTACAATGAGTCAATATACAAACTTTGGGCTTGAAAGTTTCAAATCATGCTTGTTGGGCCTTCCTAGCCCATCAACATGATCTTTGGGCCCAAAGGGATTATGCTTACATGATATTGGGCCTTCTATGACCCAATTGCACGTAAAAGGACTTTCAATAGCTCTAATGTGTTATTGGGCCCTAATGGACCATTAGTACTGCTAGTGAGGTCGAGAAGTCAAATGCGAGTTGGGCCAAGTGTCTTTTGCATTCCCGATAGGCTTGAATAACTCCTGGGAATAAAGGGGGCTTCGTACCCTCCTTTTTCCTCAGTTGTTGGGCTTATGAGAAATCAAGTAAATAGATTCATGGCGTTCATCAGGAGAAATCAAGGTGGTTGGATTAAGTGAGTAGTACGGACGATGCCTTAAGGATCGTTCGTAATCTGTAGTTATAAACTAGTCATTTCTTTAAATGCGTGATTGTAACGACTCACAAACCCTAATTAATCCAATGTCACCTGGGTAATCAAAACATTCGTTGTATCGGTATAACAATAAACAAGTCATATAATTTACGTATTGGGGAAACCATCAGGTTTTCTCGGGAAGTTCAACATTGTCACTTGTGTGACGTATACACAGTTCAACCATTAAACATGCTTTAAAAATCAACAAGCATATTTACAGATCTTCACACTTTTTATAAACAAACATTTTTTTTCCCAGAAAATATCGAATTTTCTGGGTTTTTCAAACTTCACCAAATCATTTTACCATAACATTACTTATGAACTCACCAACATTTCATATGTTGACGTTTTCCAAAATAATTTGTGTTCTTAGGTAACAGGTAAGCCGAAGAATATGTATCAAGAAATGTCATGGTGTTTTGCTTAAATTATCTGTTAGACAGTTTATGTTATGGATTTGTAATGTCTAAATCAATGTGCTGAATGTAAACAATATCAGTTGTAATATTCCAATGCATGATGATGAATTATGTTATGACTCATGTATATTCATTGTGATGTTATTTAATTTGAGTCATAAGAACCCTCGGATGTTTTCGCCGTCCGGTTCAGGGGTGTGACAGGTTGGTATCAGAGCTCTGTTTATAGTGAACTAGCATATCTAACCACACATTGATATGCAACTATAAACCAAAAAGAGGGACTAACACAACTCGGAAAAAAACAAGTAAAACATAACAATAAAAACACCCTTGCTTGTATTAGGAAAAAGAACATAATATAGAACCAAACAGGATAATTCTAGTATCTCGGTTAAGCCAGGACTGTTCTTAGTCATATCAAGGAGTGGATGTAGCCTGATCAACTACATTTCCTCCAAGGTACCACTATCACATGTCCTGAGGAAATCGTGATAGCTAGGGAACCTATAAACATACCCCTTTATCCCCAAGAAGGAACACCAATTCAGTATATTTAACAACTAAAGCGGCATAGGTATGATCACTACAAGAAAAAAAGCCTTTTACGATGCTCATTGCGCGTCGTAAAAGGCTCAGAAGACGCGCAAATGCGCGTCAAGGAAGGCCCTATCATAAAGAAAGACGGCGTGCATTTACGACGTTCATTTATGACGCGCAATTACGACACGCGTTTACAACGCGCAATGCGTATCAAGGAAGGCCCTGTCATAAAGGAAGACGACACGCATTCGCGTGTCGTAACCTTACGACGTGCGTGTTAATGACATGCAATGTGTATCAAGAAAGCCCATGTAAAGAAAGGCCATGTCATAAATTAAGATGACACACATTTTTGTGTATCATAATTTCAAATTTTAAAAAAAAATATTTATGTATTTACTAATTTCTAAATAAAATTTGCATTTAATGTCCCATAATAGAAAATAATATCTCATATACAAAAAATATAATCCATCACATAAAATTAATGTTATACAAATAATTGTTCCATAGAAAAATAAAACAAATCAATAAAAGTTGTAACAAAAATTTACAAACTAATAGCTCTAATAACCTAATGTGTGCCTCACTATAAACAAGATTTGTGCTAATTTTTTTAAATGTGTGCCTCACTTGTCTCCACTCTTCCTTAATAACACCGCTCAAGGACTCTAAATCTATGAACTTGCTCACAGTATCTATATTGCCTGCAAAGAAAAACATAACTACAAAATAACAAGAAAAGGATGAAAAGCTTTTAGGAAATCATATGGACTTACCGAGCTGCAAGGGTCATCCATGTGCCGTTCTTTCTGCAAATCACACCACATATTTCCGAATTAAATCAGACAGTAAGGTGACTGACTATGCTACAAAAAAATGCAAAATTAACTCCTTTTTATCTTTATCACAAACTATTATGTGAATCTTATATGGTTGTATTTTTTTATTCCATATGCACAACTAAGAAACCAACAAGTTAAATAAACCTCATCTTTTCTTAAAGTTTTATGTGAAACTGGCATGAGGCTTTTACCTTTTACCATGAAAAGATCATCGGATTAAGGATTTGCAAAAGAAGTCATAATACAAAAAAGGTCCAATCTTGACCTAACAACAAGAAAACAAGACAAAAAAGTTTTCATCATGATGCAAACTGATCCAAGATGTCAAGATATAGACAAGAAAAAAAAGAAATTATGCAACTAAAAGCCTCATAGATGTAATAAACCTCTTGTTACCACACATTATCATGTGGACTCTTACCATAAAAGAAGATCACAGAAAAGCCACAAAAGAGAGACAAAGGTCCAATCTATGTACAAGATTTCTTGGACCTATCAGCAAGAGAAGAAGACAAAATATTGACATCATGATGGAACTATAGAATACCAACATGTAAAAAAAGAAAGATTATAATAAGACATCAAGTTAACCAACAAAACAGCCATCAAGATGCCTGAACCATGGTACTTGGAACCCAAGAATCCTACATAGACAAGACATATTCCATAAATAAATAAATAAATAAATAAACAGATCTCTATCAGACTTGTTGCGCCTTCTCCATCCCATGCTATTGATTTGGCAAGCCCTTGCATTATCTTAACAAAAAAAAAAAAAAACAAAAACAAAAAATAAACACTTGTAAAATGCATGTAACAAGAAAAGGGTAAATTGGTAATTTAAACATACCGAATCAAGGAACATTTGATTCAGATAAACCACTAGCCAAAGCAATAATGGTAGCACTGGTGTTAGTATCCCTATCTACCTGCAACATTTAATAAGAAATATTTTAGTTATTAATATACACATGTCACTATTGGTTAAACGACTAAAAAGAGTTACAAGTTACAATTGCTACACTCTTGCTCACAAGATCAGTTGTTGTTATTGCTATAGCAATAGACTGCTCTGCAAACCGAAAGTAGAATTGATAATTAATTGAACATTTAAAGGAAAGGAATACAAGGAGTTACAAATTACAACATTACCACTTGACACTTGATGAAAGGAAACTAATTAACTTAGTAAGTGAATTAAGAAGAGGCTCCTACACATAATATGATAAGTCAAACAAGTGGTAAAGAAATTGACTATAAATGGATTTGCTGTGTTGTTTACCTTCTTTATTCGTTGACCAATTACCTCAGTTGATTTTATCAAGATTTCATCTGGGCTTAATTGAAGTAACTGTAGAATTGTGAATTATCAGTATTATTTTCATTGTGTAAATAGAAATAAATGAACATAATGAGGTTTACACTTTACATACATTGGAAAGGGCATATGAGCAGTCTATTACATCTTGGTAACCTACACCCCCTGTAAGGGCATATACGTCATTTTACATCACAGGTAACAAAAAAGTTAAGTAAAAAATTACCAGGGCTGCATTTGCTTGACTCAGGAACCAACATGTAACTTACTGTAATATTTATGAATATTTCTTTCATTAACCATAAAATGATAAATTTACTTGAGGAAATACGTAGTCATGATGTGCATCGCGTGTAGATGGCACAAGAATCACACGTGCAGCAGAGCCATATATTCCACATACTCTTGAAGCTGAGGAACAATTGATGTATAAAAAATCAAGGGAAAAAGTGGAAATAAAAGTGTTACATGTAAAAATAAAGGAGCAGTTTAGACGATTATACCCTCCTAAGGATTTCAAGACGGAATAAATCATCCTAAGTCCTGTTTAAAGCTCCTTTCTTGATCTTGGGGTGCTCCGAATTAATGAAAGGCTCTAACTATTAATGAGTTAAATACAATGATTGTTAGTTTAGAGTGGTTTTGATTTTTAGCAATTACAGGTTTAAAATTGTAAATTCTCACCAGTATAGGCAACTTAGGCTGCTTTCTTTGTGCATATGCAAGAAGATCAGATAGTGGCTCAAAGAATAAGTTGTCAGTCGTGGTGTAAGGGCCTGAAGCAATAATCTGCTCAAAGATGACATGGATAGAATTAGAGAGAATCCATATAGTAAACTTAAAGGTGTACTTTAGTAAAATGAAGAACAATCTTTACACACCAATGATAAATCCGATGTTATATCAAATAAATCAGCAGGCTTGTTATCTTTATGTAGATGAAATCTGTTTGGTAACTTATTATAAAAGATCATAAATTTAGACATAATAGATTTATTAATAACTTATTATGTTTTCTAACATTTGATGTTCATGAAACATCTTTTGTTTATAATTACGTATTACCATTTGGAGAATAGATACTGAGATACATAGGAACAGATGAAATATGTTTGGTATGACCTGTCACTCTGTTAGTTTCATCAGCAAACTCCTTCCTCAAAGAAGCTACAAAAGTATATAAACTTATAAGAAGATTATGCAGAGAGATTGAGAATTACAAAAGGATCATAAGTTTTTAGTCATAATACCAAAATCAGTGAACCACTTTCGTGGAATCTGAGCAAACTCTGCATATTCTTTTCCTTCTTCAATCTTATAAAGAAGTAGAACAAGAGGACGAGTGACAATTCCTACAAAATAGATGTTAATTAATCAAATTTTATATCCAAAATTTTGAATCAGAAAATTTTGAAGATACAATAATTACTAGAGCCACAATGCAAAAAATCCAACACACACTCATGATGAATCCCGTTAGAACTACTGGTAGTTGCTATGTTTTAGGGGGCTTCTTTTCAACTATGTAATGGACTAGTGATAGTCACGAGGTCTTAAAGAGTAGGATTAACCAGAGAGGGAGATGGATGTTAGGAAAGAGAAATGAAATTGGATGATTTAGATGGATAAATGATTTTCAGGAGTACATTAGAGTGAGAGGACATAGTGTGATGTTAGTAGATCGATAGAACCTGTTTCATTCTGAACTTCACAACCACAACACTTCAATTTCCCACCATTATCCATCCCCAACGTCGCCGTCAGATAAAACAACATGTCCCTTATAAAAGGTGCAGGGGAGACGAGAAAGGGAGCTGCAATGAAACCAACGACGAGAGCTGAAACGAAAGTCTCAGCAGAGAAAATCGCATCGAATCCTATTTCGGGGTTTCTGCCACCGACAACTGCGACAGATCGGAACACATCAGGAGGGACGTTTCTGAGTGCTAGAAGAGTGACTACACCCATACTCGGGGATCTGATCTTGGGAGGTTTTGACGAGGATGTAGAACTGCAGGACGAAGGTAATTTCTCCAAGTGAAATCTAGAACAAACTTCGAAAACCAAAGATCCGTAAAGAGGATTGGCGACGATATTAGGTTTTTTTTAGGTATTTGAGAGAGAGAGAGAGAGAAAGAGAGAGAGAGAGAGAGAGAGAAGAGCGATGGAAATAAGGCAGAGGATAAACATGGCGGCCCTTCAAAATTATCATTTCCACCCCCACCCCCCACCCCCGCGACCGCGTTTCATTTAAAAAATATAAAGCGACATCTCTACATGACGCCCATTTTAAAATAAGTGCCCTCCGTGTTTTTAATTTTTTTTATTTGACACTAATTTAGGGGCTCGCAAAAATGTGTGTCCTCTATCTTTCATTTTTTTTACAAACGGACGTTATTTTTTGGACACCTAAAAAATGTGTATCGTAAATCACTGTGTGTCATTGTTTGCGTGTCATTAAAGGGAAGTTTTCTAGTAGTGGATATTAGCATAATTATACACTCTCGCAGACAACATGGCTGGTTTCCACCACCCCGGGGATCCTTATTTCCCAGACCATGGGAATAACGGATGGTTGGATGAAGAGCCTGAAGAAGACCCCGAGGAAGACCCTGAGGAAGAATCTGACGGGGAACCGGAGGTAGAAGTCGAGGGCAAACCTGCCGAACCAGTAGAAGAACAGGAGGATGAAGAAGATGAAGGAAGCCTCGAGGAGGAACCCATCGACAGCGAAGGGGGTGATTCGGACGCGGAGTCCGAAGTCATCAACCCCCTTATCCGATTAGAGTGCCCGCTTACTGGGTGGGCCCCACTAGTCCTACACCCCCCTGGGGTATTGATCTTTGGAGATGGAGCAGGCAGTAGGGACAGCGACCCCCTTTCAGCATTTCACGCGAGTTCTTTGACATGTGGGATGGAGGACCGGCCGATCAAGCCCTTCCGGTCATGGTGAGACAATTACGGAACACAGGCGACCTAGCTCAGGGTACCACCGACCAGGTGCGTCAGATGTGGACTATGGTAGAGCGTGCAGAGCAGGAGACACAAGACGTCCTTTGAGAGTTCCACATGAGGTAGGTAAGGTGGGAGTCCCAACTCCAGGACGCAGAACGACATGTGGCTCGTCTCCAGGGAGCATCCACTTCGTCAGCACCAGCCCCGGGCACATCTCGCCGCGACTAAGGTTAGCCGTATCAGTCTTTAGTACTATATCTTTAGGATCTATGCTATGTACCCCGACTCTATGTTTAAGTGATTACACTACTCATAGAGCCGTTATGCTGTCAAACTAGTACCGCTTATGTATGCTCTTTCGAGCAAAATTTTCATGTATCAAATGCGGATAATATTAGTAAAAAAAAATTTATATGTTTTACTTTGACGTTATAATCTTCTATGTGTTACGAATCCATGATTGTGTGCCAAATTGTGAAAGTACCTAAGTTTGTGCCACACACCTAGCTCATCGGATCACACTCTCACAAAAAGCACGGATAATCAATATCTTTCTGTTCCATGGTAGAAAGATGCCTCGACGACCAACCCGCGGAAACCCTGAGCCAAACCTGCCCGAGTTCAACTCTGTTGCTTTTCAAGAAGTGGTATCGGTTGCAGTCAATGCGGCTATGACACAAATTCACCAAGGGAACAATGGAGGAGTTAACGGACCAGGGTCCGGAAGTTCGAACAACGGGATGAATCAAGGACCTACCAAGATATGCTCCTACAAGGACTTCACCAACACCAAACCACGAACCTTCAATGGCACGGGAGGAATAATTTCCCTGAAACAATGGATCGAGAAGGTGGAATCGGTGTTCGAGATATGTGAATGCCCTGAGGAGATGAAGGTAAAATTTGCCGCATGCACTCTTGTTTACCAAGTGATCACTTGGTGGAACGGACATGTGGAAGCCATGACACTCCCCGTAGCCAATTCCATGCCATGGGTAGATATGAAAGAAATGCTGATGGCCAAATACTGCCCTCGTGGCGAAATTCAGAAAATGGAACAAGAGTTGTGGAATCTCACCGTCCGCAACGCGGATATAGATGCATACATATCAAGGTGTAGTGAACTGTCTCAGCTGTGCCCTGGCATGATCACCTCAGAAGGTAAGAAGATCGAGCGATTCATTTGGGGACTAACCTCCCCGATCCAAGGAAACGTGATAACTGCCAATCCTGAAACTTTCGACAGTGCCAAGAGATTGGCCATGAATCTGTATGACCATAACAACAAGAAGGGTGAGAAGCCAGTGGACACTGAAGTTAAGAAGGAAAGTGACAACAAAAAGGGAAAGAACAGTAAGAGGAAAGGACTTCAAGGCTCCGAATCATCCAAGAAACAACAAACAGTGGAAGTTAATGCTGCAACCGCACAAGTTCCATCCACACCACATGATCCAGCCTCAGCTGCTCCAAGTACTCCTAGACCTTATTCCCGTAACCTTCCCAAGTGCAACAAGTGTGGACTCCATTACAATGGAGAATGCAGAGAGATGCAGTGCACCAGTTGCAATTGGAAGGGGCACACGACAAAGTACTGTAGAGAGATGCAGTGCACCAGTTGCAATTGGAAGGGGCACACGACAATGTACTGCATGACTTTCCCTCCTCAGAACCAACAACAGGGAAACAACAACAACATTAACCGCAACAACAACAACACCGACAATGGAGGCAACAATGCAGGACCAACTCAAACCTGCTATGGATGTGGACGGACTGGGCATTTCCGTCGAAATTTCCCTAACCACAACAATCCCGAAAATGGAGGAACAGGAAGGGTGCTAACCATGGGTCAGGGAGAAGCGATTCAGGATCCCGCTGTTGTTACCGGTACGTTCCTCCTAAACCACACTTATGCATGCATCGTATTTGATACCAGAGCATAACGAAGTTTTGTGAGCAATAAGTTTAAACATTTGTTAAAACAACAACCCCAGAAGCTCAATCAAAACCTTTACGGTGGAAATGGCCAATGGGAAAACCAAATCCACTGGGGAATTCTACATCGGATGTACCCTAACTCTAAATCAACACGTCTTCCAAATAGTCTTAATGCCTGTTTCCATTAGGAGTTTTGATGTGATTATTGGCATTGACTGGTTAAGCCCCCACCATGCTAAAATTATGTGTCACGAGAAGGCCGTTCGCCTTCACCTTGCAAATCATGAAACGCTAGTTATTTACAGAGACAAACCTAGGATGAACCTTCGTATCATCTCGTGCGGCCAGGCACAGAACCGTCTGCGAACGAACGATTTGACGTTCCTAGCGCATATTGTGGATAAAACGAAGGAAGAGGTTAACATTCGAGACCTTCCTGTAGCACGTGAATTCCCAGACATATTTCCTGAAGATCTTCGTGGAGTACCCCCAGAGAGACAAGTTGAATTCTGAATTGATCTTGTTCCCGAAGCTACTCCCATCGCTAAATCACCTTACTGATTAGCTCCTGCTGAGAGGCAGGAATTGTCTAGCCAACTCAGTGAACTCCTGGGCAAAGGATTCATCCGACCCAACTTCTCGCCATGGGGAGCTCCAGTCCTCTTTGTCAAGAAGAAAGACGGATATTTTAGGATGTGCATTGTTTACAGGGAACTAAACAAGCTCACTGTCAAAAATTGCTATCCACTCCCACGAATTGACGATCTATTTGACCAGCTCCAAGGAGCTAGTTACTTCTCTAAGATAGATCTACAATCTGGGTACCATCAACTCAAGGTCCGGGAAGAGGATATTCCTAAAACCCCTTTTCGAAGTCATTACGAACATTATGAATTTATCGTAATGCCCTTCGGTCTAACGAATGCCCCTGCCGCATTCATGGACTTAAGGAATCGAATATGCCGACCATTCCTTGACAACTTTGTTATTTTTTTCATTGACGACATTCTAGTCTATTCCCAAAGCGAAGAAGAGCATGGCCAACATCTCCGACAAATCCTGGAAACCCTGGGAACTGAGAAGCTATACGCAAAACTCTCCAAGTGTGAGTTCTGGCTCCGTAGCATGAACTTTTTGATGGGTTTTGAGCGTTCTAACACTTCCTAAGTGTACATGCAACCCTAATAAACTTGGATCTATGTTTGTCTAATTATCACGCAAAGTTGAATTCCAAGGCTATATTCCTATCTAGCATACATGGGGAACAATTTTTTAACTTGAATGAAAGATAGAATAACTTACCTTGTTGTTGCTTATGTTCCTTGAAACCTTATGAGCCTAGCACCCCAAGTGTGATGCCTCAAATACTTCACACAACACCAAATGCTCTTGGAAAGACTTTTGAGAGAATACACACTTCTAGAAATCGGCCTAGCCCTCTTGTTTCATATGTGTAGCCCATTTTGGTGGAGAATAGGGTTACACCATGTAAACCCTAATGTGTCATGACTCTTCATTTCCATGACCCATGGGTTTGTAACTCCCATGGAGCATCCATGGAGCATCCTATTGGTGGAACCCAACTTGATAATCCATGGAGCCTCTTATACCACTATACAAGATATGGATGATTTACATAATCAACCCATATATTTAATTAGTTATCTTTTGATCACTTAATAAATTCTAAATTAATTCTTGATCAAACTAATCAAATAATATTATTAATATATTAGAACTTATAATATATTAATAATCTCCAAATGTTATTTCTCTCATTTAATCTATCCAATTGCATGGTGCCATGCAACCCAAATGGACCATGCTGGGTCGAGTCAAGTACATACCAGAAATAGTTATGGACTTAGACACCTTATCCAACAGTCTCCCACTTGGATAAGTCTAATAACTATTAGTGCAAGTATGACTTCAGGAACCGATCGACAATCGTAGCTCTTTTCAAGGTTTCTCGGAACTGAGAAGATGATGGTACGCCATTTAAGATAAGTGATCATATAATCCTCTGTTCTTGATATCAGCCGGACAAGTACATGGAACAATGTGTTACTTATTGT